AAAAAGAAAAGTAGGAAATCTGTTGTAGGCAGCACTTGGAGAGGGAGCACAGGAAATGCATAAATGTGATTGTGTTTCATTGCACTGCCTGCTGTAAATATATCAGATATGCAAAATTAGAGTTTAAGGTGGGTTCCTCTAGCTGGAGGAAGTCAGTGGAAGTTAATCTTTGAGAAGCAGGTGAGAGGGGATGGCAGACACTGTGCTTGTATATTACAGATATTTTGGCTTTGAACAGGTTCTAAAATGGTTTTCTGGTTCTGTTAGAAACTGGAAACCACACAAATTAAGGACAGCATCTAAAATAGTTATGTTTTATTGTTAATACATATATATGTGTGTGTGTGTGTGTGTGTGTGTGTGCTATATATAATGTATTGATATGTGCCCCCGTCCCACTGAATTTTCAGGCTTTGTTTTTTGGGGGGTTTTGTTTGATTGCTTATCTCCCCTGTAGTGTAGCTTTTTCATTTTCTCTAGATACCTGTAATTCAAAGAACTGTTAACTTGGACACTGTATGTCTTGCAGATGTAAATAAAAGTACTAAAGAAAGCATCTCATGGAATTGGCTACCATATCACCTCATGGCTGAAAGCACTGGCTAGGAAGGGTAGTGTTCCTTTGCAGTGCCTGTAGACTACTTGTCTTTTTATTGTAGGTGTGGAGGGTGCAGCTTTCCAGAGTAGACTTCCACATGACCGTATGACATCTCAAGAAGCTGCCTGCTTCCCTGATATAATCAGTGGGCCACAGCAGACTCAGAAGGTGTTTCTGTACATCAGGAACCGCACCGTAAGTTTGTTGTAAAAGTATTGGTGAAAAAAGGGTAGGAAATTTGTGTACCTTGCTAAGACTTTATGGCAGTTACCATGTCTAGCAGTTGATTGAATTTTTGGTTTTGAGACAGTGGGGTTGAATTTCTGGCATCCTGTCATGCTCTCAAGTTGTTAAGATATGTGCTATCCAGTTCTTGATTAAAGCAGTGCTGTGAGCAGCATAAAGAAACTCTGGGGTACTTACAACATCCAAAACAGGGATCGAGGCTTTCCTCCTGTATTTTGAAAAGAATATTTTAGAAAATTGAAGTCATGTTAGGAAAATTTCAGTAGGAAAGCAAGAAATACTTCACAAATTGCTGTGTTACTGTAGTTAAGAGACAAAACACCTTATGCACCGCTCAGTTTTTTCACAGACTGAAGATGACCAAGAAACATCATTGGGTATTGACCATATTAAGCATTGGGTAGCACCCAGTGCTTAATAAGTTAGTTAAAATTTATGTGTGGTGGACATCTTCAGTCTAAGAGCATGACTTCTGCTGTTCCTGTAAATTATTCCTCTAACTCAAGTTGTAACTTCTGAGAAGTCATGAGATGTGTAAAAACAGGCCAGAGCGTGCCAAAGAGTTTGGAAAACAATTTGCAGAAAATAAATAGTGAGTAATCCTTTAACAAATATGTTGAAAGCAGAAAAACCTTCCACTGAAACTAAGAAATTACTGGAGAGAGGTATTTGCAGGAAAAAGCAGCACTGCTGGTCTGTGGGCCTTATTCACTACAGAGGAACTTGGAGAAGTTCCTGAGCAGGAATCCTGTTTGAGGAAGGCTTGTGAGAGGAACTCTTCCAGTGAGAATAGCAGAGACTGTGGAACTGCTGATATGAACCCAGTGCTCAGCAGAGCTGCAAACTGCAGTGAGCAGCCTCTTAATTAGCCATTCACCTCAAGAAGCCTCCCAAATTATAAAGAAATTATTTCTTGATCATTCCTATTCATTACGGTTGTAGGATTTCCATTTTAATTTGGCCTCTGTGGGGAACTGTGAAGCTCAGTAATACAACTCTAGAGAAATACCCAAATAAAGGACTAATTATAGAATACATAATGGAGTGGAAGTGCTATGTATGACCTAGATCTAGGCATGCAACTGTAAAATTATTTATTAACTCCTGCCTCTCTGCTACAAAGTAGGAGTTCTGTGGGAAAAACAGTTCTTTTTTTTTTCTATATGAAAATATATGTGATAAATGTGACATGATACAATCATATCATAGACAATTCTTCCTGCTTGATTTTTGAACTGTAAATGTCTTGTAAATATGCTTTTTTTGTGTATATGTGGCCAGTGTAGTCCATGGTCGTGTTCTATATTGGTGAAGATGGATTGGATCATTAAATGTCAGAGATCATTCAGACTGTGTTGCACCTTAAGGAACACTGGAAGGTGAAGTTCAGTGTGACTTGTGTAGTCCTGCCAAAGTTAAATTCATTAGAGGGCTTCATCTCCTGACAGTATTTGGTAGCACACACATGCCTGGAAAACACCTCTTTTGTATTGCTTAGTATGACATGTTGTATTGTTTGTTTAAATACAGCTGCAGCTCTGGTTGGATAACCCAAAGATTCAGCTGACATTTGAAGCAACTATCCAACAGTTAGAAGCACCTTATAATAGTAAGTCAAGTTTTTCATTTCCAAAATCATACTGTATATGTCAGTGCTGTTTTCTTTCACTTTTGTTCATGGAAAAGCTGCTTCAGATGCTTCAGTCCCCAGTGGAGCTCCATGAGTGGTTGTGTATAGACTGGGATATTGCATTTTATACTCATGGTTCACATTTGGTGGAGTTCATTGTCTGGTAAAGAAATACCACTACCAGGATTCATAAAAAGATGGATTGTTACAGTAGTGTTAATTCATGTGCAGCTTTTAAGGTTTGCTATGGCTTCTTGGTGGTTCTCAGCTGTAAAATGTTATTAATCATAAGGTTTTTTGAGAGGTTTTTTTTTTAAGACTTAAACAGACTGTGATGCAAAAAGGCAGTAGAAGAGTGAGGAGTTACTGCTTGCAAATGGAGACCATTCCACACTTCTTAGAAAAGATCCCAATAAACTGGGAAAAGGTGGAGGGTAGCCATTAAAAAAAAAAATGAATAAGAAAATAGTGCTGAAAAGAATGCAAATATACTGTCAAGGATTGCAAAATAGTGAACTACTGTGCTTTTAAAAATAAAAATGAGAATTCAGTGCTGCAGTAAATATTGGCATAATACCAATAATCACAATTCTGTGTCATTATCTTGGGATTTTGCAGTTTCAGAAAAGGTGTTCTTCTTCACTAGAGTAAAAGAAGTGCCAATGTCCTGTACAGCTTTTCAGGCAGGATTCAAAACTGCAGTACAGCATGGGTATTTTTCAGAAAAGCAGCCTCAGGCCTCCTCAGAAGGATGAGTGGGTCAGTAGCAGAGCTGTAGGGCAGGATGTGTTTAGTGGGGCTCGACCAGATTGCTGCTGTGAGTATGTCCTCAGTACATATGTGCAGCTGAACATGCAGAATAATATGGAAACTTTATACATTCTTTTAGGTGACACAGTGCTCGTTCACAGGGTTCACAGCTACCTGGAGCGTCATGGGCTGATTAACTTTGGGATCTACAAAAGAGTGAAGCCCCTTCCAAGTAGGAAACTTGTGCATTGTTTCTAATTGAAGTTTTGTTTTATTGTTCCATGATTTCTTAGGACAGTTTTTTGATTGCTTTTTAGAATTGGAGTGCTAAGAAAAGAAAAAAAAGGCTGGAAAGCCATCTGACTGTTGATGTTAATGTGTTATATTTTGGCATAGAGAAGCCATGTATTTATGTAAATCACTTTGAGAGGAAAAAAATCTTGGCAAATCTTCTGTAGATAATTCGGTGACTGTCACTTTTTAATGAGTTATCTTGGTTCTCATTTAAAGTCAGAAACACAGTATTGTACTTAGGTCTGTTACATGCTTATCTGATTCTTGAATTTTGCAAGTGAACTTCTCTGCCCTTTTTAAGTTTTATTCTTCTGGGGCAGAAATAAATAAAACTATGATACTTTGTCCCCAGTAATTAATATGAATTGCATTCTTCTTCAGACAGTTGTCTGGAAGCATTTTTTCTCCTGTTTTCTTCCTTGTCCCAGATGTACTGCTAGTGTATTTTCCTTGTACCTGTCTCAGTGTTACATTCAGAATTACTTTTTCATCATTATATCAAATTACAGTTCTCTTTGTTAAAGAGTTTGTTTTGTCAGAACTAGTCATGAAAAGAAAGCTGCTTTTTGTTCTTAGTATCTCTTAAATGCAACTCCTACATGACTGTTTGCCATTTAGTACTGCACATATGAAGGACTACTGTAGCTGATTTTTCTCTATCTT